ATTTAATTTTTTGACAAGTACAGGAGGGCATTGTTTTTATACCTCTATCCGTATATATAGTGGTTCGTACAAATTACTTTTTTGCTGTGGTAAATATCAGCTAATTTGGCATGGTAGAAATTAGCATAGCATGTGGTACAAAATAATTTTGGGGCAGTACAGATTAAATTTTTGTTGTGGTACATATGTTCTTTTTGTTAATTAATTTGGTTATTCCCGTATTATGTATGGAATTAAATTATTGACGTTGAATTAGACTTGGTTCGTATGGAATTTGTATTATATGTAGAATTGGATGTTCAATATTAATTTTTTGGATGCTTGGAACTGAAATGTGTGCACGTTGTTGAATGCTTAAATGGTTGATAATATATTTAACGTTGATGGATTATATTGTTTATACAGGGTACAGGTTGTACTAATAATGAATACAGGTTGTTTACGAAAAAAAATTCAAAAAAAAAAAAAAAAAAAAAAAAAGAATTGGCCAACTTTAATACACTAACGTGCCATTTTAAAAGTTTAACCAATGGAGATGTTTTATTATATTATTTAATGGTGAGTGTAATAATTTTTTTAATTTAAAATAATTATAATTTTGTATTTTTATTTCATAACCATTAAATATGTAATGAAAATCTTCCATTACATATATTGAATGGTAAGGATCAAAGTCTAACAAGATATGCAATGTCAAGTAGGGAGAGGGAGAAAGCGCTCAAAATTACTTTTAATACTATATATATATATATATGATTATCATAATTTTTGGAAATAGATTGCCTCTAGTCTATAATGAGAGCTTTGTTTAAGCTTGTGGAGTCTACAGTGTGTTCAGTTTTGATAATTTGAACTGTTTATTATGTCTAGCACTTCATATATATTATCTACACAAAAATTAGGTCAATCCAATACTTGTAGCCTATACAATTTATCGTAGTTGTCACCACAAAAACGAACGATAATTGTGTTTTTAAAAATAGTCCATTCATTTTTTTTTTTGGTGACAAATGTGATAAATTGAATATGTTACAATTATTAGATTGACTTAATTTTTGTGTGAATGACATACATGAAGTTCTCGACAAAATAAATAATTTATATCATCAAAACAAAACCAATAGTGAGTCTCACCGGCTCAAACAGTGCCCTAAACTAGAGGCTATGCACCTCCTAATTGTTTGTATTTCATTCCTAAACTATTAATCTTATCTATTTAATTTTTATAAGTTCCTAATTTTAGTTCATATAATCTAATTAGAGACCATTGTACCAATTAGTAACTGTAAAAACCTAATTTAATAAGGAAAAGTTCCAAAATTTGAATAACTTAATCATATATTTAGAGACATTGACGTGAGTTAGGGTAATATTTTAGTATTCTTCGAGCTCACTGTAGTATCTTTGAGGTGGGTAGCATTACATGGCCAATCACAAAATCAACAAGCTCTGATCAACCATAAGTGGGTCATTCATTCTTCTGGTGTTCATCAACTTCATGGAACAGTCCAACCAATATGATGAGCATCTTTCGTATGATGTGCTGCCTATCATCCACACACAAAAAACAATTAATATTAATGTCAACATTAATGAGACCAGTCACCCTCTCACACATGCATCGCTCTAGACCAGTGTTGTGTTGTGGTGATAATAATGTATAATCTATGGTTCGTCTCATTTTAATATATATATGTATATATATATATCATTTGTTGCATTCTATGATGTTTTTCATATATTACACACATTCTTCTTATGTTTTTATGATTTTCGTAACCTTTCATTATGAGTTATTATAATGTCTTAGTTATAACTTATGTTATAATATTATTTTTGTTATCATTCAAAAATTTTTTTATTATACTCTATGTAGTTATTAGTAAAAATATGGTGTAGAGCAAATATTTTATTGTGCAAACAGTAGTATTTGGTTATGATTTATTTTTTAATTATGATTAAAAAAATATAATTAAGACAAACAAAATCTTCATAAATATGAATAGACTTTTTTAATAGTTCAATTTTTCACAAGAAAAATTATTATTTTTATCCCTGAAGAAAATATCTTTCTTTGATAAAAATTTTCTTTATAGTTGGAATTAATTGGTCGTACTTATCCAATAATTCATTATGAATAACACGCTGTTCACTCGGTTTTGGGGTCATAATCATGAAAAAATTATTTATGAGAGATGGCCGAGTGGTCATAAATTATCTAGGAGAGATGGCAGAGTGGTCATAATTTGTATATGTATACCTTTTAAGTGTGTATAGCTAACATGATGTCTTTTTATATAAAATATAAATATATTATAAGGATAAGATCATGATTAATTAATTGTATAATGTATACTATATGAAATTGTATGATATAGAAAGGAAAGGGAACAATACAAAGCAAAGCGCTTTAAGCTTTGAACTGATAATCTCACATCATATAAAATAGTGTTACCTAGCTATTAAAATAAAACCAAATACGATGATACGGTATCCATTTTGTATATGGTACAATTCTTACAAGACTGGGTCTAATTATCAAGACTGTATGAGGTTAAAAAATCAGACACACTCCCTCCATTCTTCTTCTACTCTATCTAAATCGTGTTCTCTCTCTATCTCTCTCTCCATGTGAACTTTGCCATTGAACCTATATTCATTCCTCTCTTAAACCATGCCTAAATCAAGCAACTCGTTTAAAACATTCTTCAAACACACAAAATCCAAGAAAGGTAAATGATTTTTTTTATTTTATTTTATCGGATTTATATCTGTGTCGCCAAATATGTGTTTATAGTTATTTTCATCTTCTTGTGCTCAACTCGTGGCTGCGTTGTAATTGAAGATGCAGAGGAGATCGTGGCAGAACAAGGACCCAAGCAATTCAGTTTCAAAACCCTTTCTTCTGCGACAGAAGGTTTCCATGCCAAAAACAAGCTTGGCAAAGGTGGCTTTGCTCAAGTGTACAAGGTTAATCGTCTTATGATCCAAACACAATCTTAGTGTACTGAAGTAGACCAAAAAAAGAAAATATTTTTTGATCAGGAAAAATAAACTTTATTGATAAACGAAGAATGAACAACGTACATCAACAAAGTGGAAGGATGTACAAGCTTCAACACAAAGAAAACATATTGTTTTGTTGTAAAAAAATGAGTAAAATAATTTCAAATTATGAGAAGTTTTATATGTTTTAATCCTCTTCTAAAATTTGAATCTTGGATCCATCCTTGACTGAAAATGTTTTGTAGGGCAAGTTGACTGATGGGGGCGAGATTGCGGTGAAGAAACCATTGGTGATCTCAGAGAAGGGAAAGGAACTTGTCCTAAACGAGATGAAACTGTTGTTGGGGTCTGCACACCACCGAAATATTGAGTTTGCAAGTAATGGCAGCCTTGATTACCTTCTTTTTAGTACGTACTAATATCATCTACTGTATTTTTAATTGTAAGTTGAGTTAAGGTCTTTGAAAATCAAATAGATTCATTCTAAATTTATTATTTTAAAATTACACTTGCCTTACTGTGACACAAATTCTCAATGTTATTTTCCCAACTATAAGACTAGGCAGGTTTTACTTTGAATTCACTTTTATGAAATTTTTCATCTGTAATTGAGAAATTTCTATTCAAATTCCTACATTAACTTTCATGTAACTTTTTGAGAAGTTTTCCAGATCTGTTTTTTATTTTAATTTTTATTCTTGTCTAAATTCTATTTAATTAGTTAATAAAAATATTAAATAACCTATATGATTGATTAATATGTTAGACCACCATTATTATCTTGCGAAGATTGCGATAAAAGACTCTCACATAGACTTGCAATTTTAAATAATCTAAAGTTATTAAAATAATAAAATAAATAATTGTTGTAATTTAAAATGACAAGGTAAGTAGATGTGGGATCAAAACATGAGGAACAATAACAATCATTCATTTGATCAAAGAATAAAAATTACACATAACGTCAAGACACCTTCTAGGAAGGATATATTCATAGATTCACGCATCTGTTCTTTTCTAATTCGTTGTGAACGCAAAATTATGATAAATTAATTGTATCATACTACAATTTTTTTATTAAGTCACCATTTTCAACGCGGCAACTAATCTCAAACTTTTGTACTATTTTTGATGGTCTAGATTCAAAGACTGGTAGAGCAAACGCGCTTGACTGGAAGCGAACATATGCCACAATCATAGGTGTTGCCAGGGGCTTGCTTTACATTCATGAACGATCACACAGTGTAATTATCCACTGTGACATCAAACCCGCCAACATCATAATAGATGAAAATTGGGTCCCCAAAATTGCTGATTTTGGCACGGCCAGGCTCTTCCCTCAAGATCAAACGCATGTTAATATCAATGAAGCTACCGGTACGCTGTATGTATTAAGCATATAATTTTTCTTATTTTTCCTAATGTATTTAAATTATCTATATGTTGTCACTAAATCCTGCTCTTTTCAAAGAAAAAAAAAATCGAATCCATCCGATCAGTGTTTTGTTGAGTTTTCAAAAACCTTTTTCTGTCTTTTTTTTTTTTTTTTTTTTTTTTGACCACAAACACATTTTAAAACTTGATTTGTTGTACATATATATGCTTGTACATGGAATCAGTGGGTATGCGGCTCCCGAGTACCAGAATTATGGACACATCTCTCCGAAGGCGGATATACAGCTTTGGGTAGTGGTTTTGGAGCTGACAAGCGGTCAGAAGTATTGGCTTTCCCATGCCCAGTCTTCCAATGCTCAAAGTCTACGGGATAGTGTAAGCACACCTTATCCACATTTTTAATTTGAACTTTGATTTGCAATTAGCCATTATCATACAAGGGAGGTGTCTCTGATTAAGCTTGTTGCTGAATTGTGACATGATTATTCGTTGTTGACGAAGGCAAATGAGCTCTACAAGGAAGGAAAGGTGTCACAGTTTATGGACCGGAAATTGATACCATCGGCTGTCCTTGATCAAGTACAATTGTGTGTTACAGATTGGGGTGATGTGCACACAATTTGATCCAGAACTACGACCCACCATGGGTCGCGTGTACTCAATGCTGTCAGAGAACTATAGCAGCAGCAGCAGCACCCTAGTTGAAGAACCGATGAGAGATGGATCATCATCATCATCATCCACAGTTGGAATTTCGGGTGAGTCCAATTCCCATAAGAATTTCTACTTCCAAGGGCCCTTTATGTTCAATGATTTTCCTATAAGAATTTCTTTCCAGTTGACAAAATCAGGACTTCCTAGTTTTATCTAGTCCAACTGGTTGTTTTGCACGAGTATTTGTTGAATCCATTGCCATTGCATAGCAAAATTTTCACCTTTTGAACCTCAAATCAAAATATTTCTAAGCTATCTTATATTAAATCAAAACATTCGTATATAATTTATTATTTGGTTATGCTTCTCCTATAATGCACCCTACCACAAAATATATAATTTTACTACAAAATTTCTAATATCAATCACAAAATGTGTAATCTCACCACAAATTGACTTAACAAAATGTTCAAAATTTTGTTATTGATGTCGCAAAAATTTGTGGCTTAGTTACAATATTTTGTGTGACATCAATTTCTGGCGAGATTATGCATTTTAGAGTTGATGTTACGAAATTTTGTGATAAAGTTACACATTTAGTGATAGGATGCATATGGTATGCACACCTATAGAAGAGTACACCATAGCATTTTTGAAAAAAAAATTTATTATTTCTCATGTGGTGTTTTGGTATGACTCATTATTCTTTTTTAGCTATAACTGAAAAAGATTTATTGATGACATTTGTGATAATAAAATGAAAAAATCATAACTTTTATATGTGTATTCTAACCTAACCCTATATATATATATATATATACGCACACACATAGACCTACAAAATAAATAACTACTTTGATAGGTTTCACAAGCCCAACTGGAGTAGAGAAAAGAAGCTATTTCCATACATATAGGGGGTGTAATTTTGGCCCGGCATGACTTTCAGGCGTAGCAAGCTAGGTTAGGCCACTCCCGCAAAATCTCAACCTAGGCCCAAGCCCTAGGAAAATTTGCCCCTGGGCTTGGCCCGATAGTTTTTTTTTTTCATTTTTTTCACCAAAATAGCTTTAAAATAAGGTTGGACCTCGGTTGGGTCGAGCAGGCTAAGCCTCAGGTGGGCTTCAGAGTGGGCCCAGAGTGAACTGAGCCAAAAAAATACATAGCCCAAGCCCAGGGGTTCAGGCTAGGCTCGAGCCTAGTCGAGCCACGGCAAGCTTCAGGTGAGCAGGCCATTTTTACACCCCTACACACATTATACACTAGCAGTTGACACACGATACATGTGTAATTTGAATAAATGATAAAAATAAATAAATTAATTAATTAAATTAAATTAAATAGTGTAATAATACGTATATCACTTTAAGTGTTATGAGCTTTCTTCTTTACACTCAAGGTCAAGGTTTCAAGTCTTATGCATATTATTTTATTTATTTTTTTCAAATATAAAAGGACACATGACATAAAGAGAACGCCTAAAGTATAGATAATGAATAATTCTATATATACTAACACTCTTACTAAAAATACAAGAGGCCAAATGCAATTGGTTGTCGAAAAAACAATGACATTTAAAAATTCAAAAATATTTGGACATGAATGTTTTTAGTAAGATTGTTAATAAATTTTAAGTAGATATAGCATTGCTCATAGATAAATCCTAAAGTCCTGTTTGCATCAGCAACTACAAACATGATTTGTATTCTTTTTTTGCAGGTCGAAAAGAGCTCGGTAACAATGGATCATCATCTGGGACAGATTCACTTGGAGAACGAAGGCCTACCCATACACAGGCGACTAACCCGTTCTCGACGAATCCAACCAGAGGATGTGCAATCTTACATACCCTCCATTTCAGGCTCCTCATGTAGTAGTATAGGTAGTATAGATAATTCCTATAAGTCCCATTTGCATCATCAACTACAAACATGATTTGTATTATTTTTTTGCAGGCCCAACTGAGCTCGCTAACAATGGATCATCATCTGGGGTAGACATTCACTTGGAGAACGAGGACCTATCCAAACACCGACGACTAACCCGTTCTCGACGAATCCAGCCAGAGGACGTGCAATCTTACATACCCTCCATTCCAAGCTCCTCATGTAATAGTAGTGGCAATGGTACTCAGATTGAGCCTGACGAAGGTCCTGTACAAGCAACCATACAAGAAGTAACAACAGCACCAGAAAAAGATGAAGGCGGCATACCCATTCCAATGATTACCAAGGAGGATCCAATTGAGACTATGGGGAAGCTCTGTTCCATAAAGACTTCAGCCAGACAATCAAGGGAGAAGACTCCTCTCCCACCACCTCATATGACCAAGCAAACAAAGGAAGCAATGAAGAAGGTGGCCAAACAGCAGCAGACGGTGGAGGAGGAGGTTGATGAAAAACACCCCACCACCTTCAATGATACTGAAGAGCAGCCAGTAAATTCGACTCCAGAAGACAGGGTGGTTGTGGATAGGCCTTTGCCCCTTGTCCTTTCTTTTCATCATACTATTAATTCTGATATTTGTGTATCTTTTCTATGAACAGATAATGCCAGAAATTAAGATGGACAAAGAAAGGCTGGCTACTAATGATAAGGAGGACTTCTGGCAGGCTATTACCAAGCTGAAAAGCTTGGAAACTAGTTTCAAGAAGAGCTTGAATGATGAAGGAAACAAATCCTCCTGGTGTGAGGAAAGCTTTTTTGAGGAAGGTGAGGAGGGGAAATACAAGGATCAACTGACCAACCCACAATATGCCATCTTCACGAACAATGGGGAACGAATTTTGAGGAAGGTTGGGGTGGCAGAGGACTCTCTTCTCTTCTCCGAAGTCCCACTCCCTGGCCTTGTTGAGCAACAGCTGCCCACTACTGAAGAAGCTGTTGACGATGGTGACCATGGTGGAGGAAGTGTTGCAGACTCCAATGGATAGCAAGAGGCTATTAAGAAGAAAACTTTAATAATAATGGTGCATGTTCTGAGACTAAGACACATTTTTCTTTTCGAATAATACTCCCAATTTATCCACAATGATATGGCATGTTACATGTCAACTTTTGATTTATCACAAACTCAACCATTGCCATGTCATTGTGGATAAATTGTGAATTCTATATTGTAACACATTTCTTGTGTACTGAATCTTATTAGAGGTTTTAACAATAGCTAGCTTAATACTTAAAAGCTAAGTTCCATGTAAGGTCTAACTTTTGGTTTTTAGACCCTTTATATATATATATATATATAAAATCAGCCTTAAAGCTAAGTTCCCAAACGAGACCTTAATGCCAAATATATGCAATTCAAAAATTCACATCCATCCAAAAACACCCTACAAGCACCTAGATATAAAGGTTCATCGATCAATCTGGGTTAGTTTGGATGCTAAGATTCTCCAAATGGAGGTTTTAATTAATATTAAGAAAAGTCCTTTTTTCAAATTTGAGAACTGATACAGTTCCGTAACAAACATGTTATAACTCTTCTCACCAAACTAGTTCATACTATTTTAGTAAGGAAATTACTAATTAAATTTGTATCATTAACATAATTAATCTATTCAATCTTTCCTGTGACATAGTCGGAAAGTAAGATTTGATCAATTCAAGTTTGAAAATAAAACTTTTCAGAAAACAATTATAATTAATATAATCAACAATATTCTATAAATAATTCAAACATCTGTAAAACAGCAGTCTATTACTTTCAAACATTTACAATTGGGTTTTTGGGCCCTTAAGTTCAAAGTTTAGACTTGGATAAATTGGATTGGACCCTCATTTTTTATCAAGTCTTAACAAAAATATTATTTTTGAGTCTAGTATAAATGTTGGACTTATCTAAAAAGCCAGACATCTATTCCCAATATGTTTTTTGAAATATTAACTTACTTAGAGAGGGTAAATAAGCCAATTAATAAAAATTCTTATTAATTACTCAATTTTTAGCCTTTAAACGATTAAACACATATAAGGAATCACATAAAAACACCAAGATTTTATGCGCGAAATTCAAAAGGGTAAAAATCAGAGTCTCAACACCCAACAAAAATCTACTAAGAAAATTCAATAATACAGGACTTAGACAAAAGGACTTACAACTATTCACCTAGGTTTCCCTAGGAGTATAAAAATGGCCCGCCAGCCTGAAGCCTGCCTGAGGCCCAACCCGATGAGCTTGGTCTAGACCCACTCTGATGCCCAACATCACTTGCAAGCAATTTTGGTGAAATTTTTTTTAAAAAAAAGTTAGTCCTGAGGCCCAAAACCCAATTACCCATGGGTCTGGGCCTATATTTTTTGGAATTAGGCCACCCCGGCCTGGTCCAATTTTTTGCGAGAGCCAAGCGGGCCTAAGACGGGACGGGCCAGGCCATTTTTACACCACTATGTTTACCTAACTCCGCTGACAAATGCATCTGTTTATCCAAAATTATCAAGCATAACTGCAAATAAATTTGGTGTTGAGAGGGAAAGAAAAAGAGTAATCGCTAATATTAGAGTCTTTCTTTCTTTAATGAGAGAAAACTAGAAACTGCATACCTCTTATCCACTTGTTGCAGCAATTCTAGGATCCCAAGAATACGATCCAGTGAACTGCATACTTCAGAGGACTTCGACGATGATGTCTTTTGTTAGAGAGGATCCCACATTCCTGTTAAAATGAATGCAGCAGATCTATGGATGGCACGAATGTCTGAAGACAACCAATACGTTGAGCCCACCCAGATGACTAACCCTAAAGGAGTAACAAATACAAGGTAATTAACCCCAACTTTTTAATCTAAAATAATAATTTCCAAGCAGATGAAAATATTCAAGCATTCAAATACTTTTTGAGACTTGCAAATTATGAGGAAAAAGAAATCAAATGGAATTTTACTTTTTCTTTGTTTGGCTGCATTGGAAAATTGTGCAGGACAATATTTTGAGGGCATTTTCTTGTTTTAAAGTAACCGAGTTATCATTATAAAACAGTAAGGAAAATGGGGAAACATGACTAACCACCAAATGAGGACATAGGAAACCCGCAATCAAATCAAAATCACATTTCTAATAAACGGATTCTTTATGTTTTTACTTTTTCTTCCTCTTTTTCCCTCTTCATTTCCTTTCCCTTTCTTTTTCGTTTTACCTCACTGTTCCGGGGAACCAAAAAGAGCCTATATGTATCTATGAAACAACAAAATCCATACTTTATGAGTGTTTGTGAACTCCTAAAGGTACACTTTTTTTTTTTTTTTTTTTACTTTTACTTCCTCTTTTTCCCTCTTCATTTCCTTTCCCTTTCTTTTTCGTTTTACCTCACTGTTCCGGGGAACCAAAAAGAGCCTATATGTATCTATGAAACAACAAAATTTTTTTTTTGGATCAGCTTGTGAACTCCTAAAGGTACACTTTGACAGCACCTTTTCTTTGACATTACCTAATAACCAAGGTTTTAAGTAAAGGTGGCAGCTACCATAACGTAACGATAGCGTTGATGCGGTTGCGGAAAGTAACGGCCGTAGCATAATGGTTGTGGCAGTCGACCGGAGCCATAAATTTTTCGATTCTTCGCACAACTTCAGGAAAACATACTAACAAACATGTTTTTATTTCAAAATCACATTTAGTGAGGTTTATAATAATTTTCCGTGTGTTTTGTTTTGTTTCTAAATATGATCCAATATGTGTACTAATTTTTATGTTAGGTTTAAGGCACTATAGGGATTTTTCCTATTGTTGGATGTATTTAATTTTCTTTACTTTATTAATTATACTTGTAGATAACTTCCCACTTGTTAAGAAGAAAAAAACGAAACATGTTTAATATTAAAAATGAAAATCTCATAAACATAAGTTCATACATAATACAAAATATCAACATACTAATGTAAAAATACTTAACATGATATACAAATTTTGTTCAATAAATTTGACCCAAGAGCAAATATAGATATAATATATTAATATTCAAAGAATCAAATGAGAAATTAATGAAAGTTTGGAGAGAGAGAGAGAGAGAGAAGTAAGCTCATTTAACTTCAATATCGAGAGAGAGAAGTAAGCGCATTTAACTTTGATAGCAACTTAAAAGAGAAGTAAGCTCATTTAACTTTGATAGCAACTCAAGTCTTGTAAACTTGAATATTGGACATTCAAAACATGTAGCAAGATTTTTGCATAAGTTCTATATCCTTTTTGCGCAATTTTAACAACTAGACAAAAATGGCCTTATATACAAAATCTATTTAAAAAAAAAAAATAGAAGCATATGATCGTAATGGCGGCAAAGGTCAAATGAATAAATTTGATCAAAGAGCAAATATAGATATAAGTTAATATTCAAAGAATCAAATGAGATTAATGAAAGCTTTTCAACAAAAAGGTAATGAAGTATGGAGAGAGAGAGAGAGAGAGAGAGAGAGAGAAGTAAGCTCATTTAACTTCAATATCAACTCAAGTCTTGTAGAACTTGAAGATTGGACATTCAAAACTTGTAGATCTAAGATTTTCACATAAGTTCTATATTCTTTTTGTGCGATTTTGACAACTACAAAAAAGAGAAATGAGAAAAATGGCCCTCTATACAAAATCTATAAAAAAATAAAATAAAATAAAATAAAAATAGAAGCGTAATGATTGTAAGAAATTGTAACGGCACCGTAATGGCCATTACGACCTTCACGCAGCAGTGGCGGCCATTACGGATGTGAATTTTGTCACACCACCATAGCAGCCGTAACAGATGGCAATAACAGTCATGGAAGCTTTTTAAAATTATGCTAATAACAAAAATTCTGGTAGCCAACAAAAATGTGTTGCTCTCTCAACTACCGAAGCTGAATTTATTGCCATTACAGAAGCTTGCAAAGAAGAGTTATGGTTGAAGAAATTTTTGCAAGAATTGGGTTTGAAGCAAGAAAGGTATGTGCTTTATTGTGATAGTCAAAGTGCTATTCACTTGAGTAAAAATTCTACTTTTCATTCGAGATCGAAACACATTGATGTGAGATACCACTGGATTCGTGATGTGTTAGATTCGAAATTGTTACAACTCGAAAAGGTTCACACAGATGATAATATTTCAGATATGTTGACTAAGACTTTATAAAAAATTAAAATAATTCCCTTACAAGCCATCTTACACACACACACTCACATAGATGAATAATTTTGATCATCTGAAGGGCTCTGTACTTTTCTAGTTTTTCTGTTCTTTGCTTTAAGGATTTTAAAATATAACTCCTTTAAAGTGAGGTCTTTCCTCTTTGTTTATTTGTGATTATTTGGAATTCACCTAAGGGTGATTTTGTGAGACCATTAGTGTCTCGTTTGTAATCGTTTGGAATTATTTGGTTGATAGTGGAATCGGATTTCGATCCCGTGGACGTACCTCACATTGAGGGAACCACGTAAAAATTCTTGTGTTGCCTTTGATTTAATTTTTCCGCATTAGTTTTTATTCCCATTGATTGATTTACTTGTGGGAATCACATCGATTTTCCCTAACAGAATGGTAGTAGCTCTGAAGTATGGGTGTGATTTAGGGGATTGGAACTCTCTAGAAGTATCTATTTCTTATGGCATATTTGGAAAGGTGTTAGAAAGGAGTGGGAATAAGTTTGTAGGGAATATTGGTATGGTGGTGGGAGCAGGGAGGAGGGTGAAGTTTTGGTCTTCAAAAGAGTAAGCATTGTAACTTTGTGCACTTAGGTTGTGTTTGGACAATGGATTTGGATAGGTCTTTGGAAAGGAAAAGGTGAAGGAAATTTGCATGAAATATAAGATAATTTTTTTCTCCATTTCCTCCCATTTTCCTTTCTCTTTCCAAATCCCTACCCAAATGCATAATCCAAACGCAGCCTTACTGTGTTTGATATCGATGAAGATAATGATGAAAGAGAAATCTAACATCAAACCTTAGAGGATGGCAGGGGCAAAGAAGCTTCACACAAGGCCTTTCTAGGGTCTGTTAGCTGTCAAATCTCTCGAAGTTGTTATGCTATATCTTCTACAAGTTGCAGTTGAAAATTTTCCCTTTCCCGATAGTCCACAGAGAAGTTGAGCTTCTGTCCTCATTAACTGAACTTTGCTTAACCTCTCTCCGATTCACTCAACTTCCATGTCAATTTTCAATCTTTCATTGTCAATTGCTGACATCAAATTTTTCTGCAGATCAGAAACTATAGATTTCTCTACATCTCCTTGCTTGAAAATTAGCTTCTTCATCCCATCCGGAAATTCATAATTCCTCTCCAAGAGCAAGGGTGTACAGTTTTTCTTATCAATAGACAATACCTCATTAACTGAACTTTTATCCTGTACAATTTCCTTCTTGTCAATGGATTCACTAAGCCGTTGGAGCATCAGCCTGTTCTCTCTGTGTGTTCACCATATACTGAATGTCATCTTGTAACTATTAATTTCCAATATGAATCATCCACCTATAAGCTTCAACTTCCCTTTCCAAGAAATGCTTCTCTTTCTGTCTCCTCACAAGAGTTTCTTTAAGGATGTTCATTTCTTCAGCATCATAAGCAGATTTTTCTTCTATTATCCTCTGGTATTGCCAAGCCTCCATTTCTATGGATGCCTTCTCGTCTTGTAGACGCAGTATCATAGCCATGACCTCAACTGCAGCTGTAGCAGCAGCACTTCTCTCCTTCTCAAGCTCAAGGTAAAGAGCAGCATGAGCAGCATGCTCTTCTTCAAGTGCCTGTTCCAAGATTCTGATTGCATTTTTCTCATTACCCTCATAACCCAGTTCCTTCTGCACATTACTCTTTGCCTCTTCATAGAATGATTCACTTCTCTCAGTGAGTTTCTTTTCATGAAGAGTTTCATCCAACTGAAAGCCATGTGAAGCTCTACCCCCAAAATTCTTAACAACTGGAGCGTCCTCATCATCTAAATCACATACCACACACAATAGCATTGTCATGCATCGTATTAGTAATAACCTAAGCATGGATCTATGAATGCTTCCATTTATGTTGTGTAAGATTCCATGTAAAATCCGATACACCAAGCAAGAAGTCATGGCAACACATGCCAAGACATTGTTTAGAAATGGGTGCAAAGCTCATGCCCTGAGGGCACAAGGAATAATTCTTGAGGTTTAAAAATTCAAGCTTACAGATTAAAGTGCTAATTGAAAAAGAGACATAAAAATTGTACTTGCCATATATGTATTGGTGGTATGGCAGTCCATTTGTTTAAAACCAGAACAACCTCTTCATTTCTTTTTTCTTTTTTCTCTTTCTTTTTCATTTTTTTAAATGCATTTTGATCACCTGAATGGCTCCTAAGGGGTGAGTTTAACCAATATAAAAAATTAAAATAATTCCCTTACAAGCCATCTTACACACACACACTCACATAGATGAATAATTTTGATCATCTGAAGGGCTCTGTACTTTTCTAGTTTTTCTGTTCTTTGCTTTAAGGATTTTAAAATATAACTCCTTTAAAAGCTTTTAATATGTGTATATGGGAACTCCAAGTCTGTCCTTGAAAACCCCAGGAAAATTTACAAATCCTTTTTTTAAAAGTAACCAAAGAATTTCAAAACCAGGGAATTTCACATCCCTTTATGGTTTAAAATCCCTTCCCATTCCTCTGCCAAGAATGGCCAAGATTTTTTAAAAAATCTACATAATTTCACTCTTCACTCAGGTACAGGATATATGCATGGACAGTGGAAATTGTGACTTTTCATACATGGCATATACAGGGAACAATTTTGTCAGTTAGTGCACATACAACACTAAGCTTCTTCAATTTCTCTATTCAGCTGTAAGATTATAGCACAACTTCTGTTGATTTTAAAAATGTGAAAATGCATACACAGATACATGAGTCCACAAAATGAAACACTAATGCCTCTCTTCTTTTTTTTCTTTTTCTTTTCAGTTAAGGTACAAAGTTTTGGATGAAATAAAGAAAATGGATAGAATACAAACCAAGATCAAAATCAACACTCACAATTACAGTGATTAGCATCAGCTCCAGAATTGACAGGCAGTGAACTGCATTCAATCTCATTATTCCCTTTACGATTGACGCTAGAACGTGACCAATCATCTGCATATGAAGGATCAAACGACACAGGCGAAACTTTTGCATAATCAGCAAGACCTTTCAGATGTCGCCTAAGACCATTCCTTGGCCTCTGATTTACAATCCCCTTACCCTTGAGATTAAACCTTCCCTTCTTGACATGAACTGATGAATTCACTACATCAAACACCCTAACCGATTCATTCCTCAAAATCAAGTCCCTCTCAACCACATTTTGCAACTTCCTAGCACCCGATATTGAGCTACAAGACGCTTCGCCTTCCATTTCAACAAACCCATCAACACAATTGTTTTGATCTCTAATTAACTTCAAATTCATTTGGCAATCTCGGTTTTTTCCACAAATTGTATCAAAGGGAAACTTTGTGTTCACAGACAGTTGAACAGAAGAGACTGTCTCAATTGGGCAATCAATTAACAGCCTCTTCAAGCAGTAATTGCTATTGGAGGTACCAAATAGGCCATTACAAGGACATGGTAAGAAAAGCCCCAAAAAACCCAGAAATTTGGAGGCGAAAAATGCAAGAGTGGATGCACAGAGTAAGAGATAAGCAATAGCAAGATCAAGAAAAGCACCCACTAACCCACTAAATGTCCATGAATGAACAGCCTGGCATGCCATTTGGGTTCTGCAAAATCACTTTTTACTTCTTTATTTAAGATTCAAAACGAGCACACCACAATCCTATACCCTTGTTTGTTTCCAGAAAAAAACTGAGGGAAAAAAATAAAAAAATCAATACACAACTTGTTGGCCAATAAGGAAGATAATAAAAGATGAGAGAGAGAGAGAGAGAGAGAGAGAGAGAGAGTTACCAAGAAGAAAGAAAAGGACGGGGGATGAGATACACAGTGAGAAGCTTCCTTTTCTTGTTGTTGATTGGTTGTTTGTTTGTTTGTTTGTTTGTTTTGATTTTTCAAAACCCTAACGTTCAATGTTTTTCCAATGCCCTCCATGTGATTGAAAAAAATGTCCAGGTGAAAGGAAATTGATGCACACACGCCTAGAGAAATGTCAAAGTGAAACCTATGCATACAATGCCCTCCATGTGTTTGAAAAAATGTCCAAGTGAAAAAATGTGAACCTGTTTTTTAGATACATGCAATCTGTTTGAAAAATGTCCAAGCGAAAAAATGTCCAAGAGTCCAAATAAGCATGCAATAACCTATTTAAAAAATGTGTGCATAAATTTCACTGTTCCAAGTAACCTATTCTAAAAAAGCATGCAACAACCATTAAGCATGTTTAAAACCTGTGCCATCACTTCCTTAACAACAAAACAATCATACACAACCATTCAAACCAAGCATGCACAACCTTCAAATAGTTCAAAACATTAAGGTTGCCACACATTGATGTCAAGTAAATTGTTCCAAATACATAATTAAGGTTGCCCATTACGAAACCCCGATGTTAATTGTCTGCATAACCATGTCCCTAAACCAAATAAAAATATGTTCATGATAGATCCAAAAGCATGTTTTTTTAATTGGTTTAAAAGATTAGACATAAGACAAAGTAAAAACATAAATGACTTAGGTTACATGACCATTACAAAAAAGGCTTCCAAACCCAATAATTCAAAACACTTAGTTCACCATGTCCCTATTAACACTAGCCTAGCTACCTATAGCTTCTTCAACTTCATTCATTCTCATGGTTGTGTAGACACCCCATTTTGACCGGCCCTAAGACTTAGGCGCTTTGTTTTCATTATCCGATGATGACAATCAAAATGTGTTTCTCATAGAATCCTCAGTAAAATAGATGAAATTTGAGCTTTAATCCAAACCTTCACACATTTTTGGCCAAATTATTTTTCATCCAAAATTCACCAATCTCCACTACCAAAAGAATCATGGCTCTTCAATCTCCACTACCAAATTTCCTACAAATCAATCCCTACTCACTATCCACTTTCATAATCACACCCCACAATCTCCACTCACCATCCACTTTCATAATCACATCTCACAATGCCCACCCATCATTCATTTTCCTAATCATACCCCATTGTAAACACCCCATTTTTGACCGTCCTTAAGACTTGGGTGCCACTGATTGTTTACTTGACGGTGAAGGTTATGTTGTGCAAAGGTTCGATTTCTTCGGCAAGAGGAGCTCTAAATCCCAATCTCACACCCCATTTTTGGACCAAAGCCTTTTCACCAAAATGATTTTTAGGCCTTAAAAACCCTCTCTTTTAAAATATTTTTGAAAAAAGTTTCTACGATGTTCCGAGGCTCGCATTTTGTTAAATGTTGCGCTTTTCGGTAAACCGAGCAAGTAATAAGTGGAAATAGATGAAAGAGAGGTGAAATCTATGAAAAATGTTTCAAAACATCTTATTTAGGGGTTTGGGGTTGAAGAAAAGAGGAGCGGAGGCAAGAAAACTAGCTGAGAAGAAGTTAGGCATGAATCCGAGTAGGATCGAAACTGAACAGTCTTCACTAAAAGAGGCATATCTTTTTGCACAATTGGAATTTTGATGTGAAACTTCCACCATTGGAAATAATTCTTCTTGGGATTCAATTTAGGCTCAAGAATGACCTGTAAAGGAGTCTAGATGAAGGAGATATGCCCATTTGAAATTTATTTGGTCTTGCTTATACTGATAGCTTGGGATTCGATGCCTTCTACTTGGGGACAAAATTCTGTGGTTGGAATGGATGATCATGAGAATAAATGAAGCACGTGAGAAAAGCTATCTTCCTTAGGAGCCTACAATGGGGCCTGTTTTTGCAATCTAAAAGCATAAGCTAAATGCACCCCTTCCCATGCTTTCCAATGTGTTTTGTTGTGCTTTGAAGCAATTTTTGGGCTTCACGCCAAGTTAACCAAAGTGGGTTTGTCTTGGTCAATGAGATAATGTGGATTCCTTAGCCCTTAGCTTGGCTTGTCAGGTTGGCCCGTTGCCTTCATACTATTTAGAATTACTACTTGGTTTTTCTTTTAAGGCCAAGGCGGTGTGGGATACAATGATTGAAGGATCTGAGACGAGGTTGGCAACTTAGAAGAAGCAATTCTTGTTTTGGTTTGCTTCAAGAATTTACAGTTGAAGTAGAGGATGATTCCCCTTGCCCATTAAGCTTTTCCATGGCCGATAGCCCGCCGATAGCCCCGAGAGGCCATCCTTGCCACATTATGCTGCACTATATAGTTGCTAATGAGATTTGGGGAATATGATCTTTTTTAGCACTTTTATAGATGGTTATTTACGTGGAAGAATTATTATTTGATATGTTTGCTCCTACAGGTCTACTTCAAAGTGACAGATCCATTCAATGAGAAGTGGCAGGGTGCTTGGATGATCACTGCCCTTTGGGATATTCTTGCATTTGCATTGTTATGCCTTATTTGCCATCTCTGGGCCCCCATCACAAAGCTCTCAACAGTATGCCATGAATTATAACTAGCCATAGGAGGAATTATGCTGTTTTTTTAAGTACAAGTGGCTGCATGGTTTGCTACAACGTTTTACTATCATCAAATGGTTACTGAGCTTTTTCTTCTGTTAAATACAAAATAGTTGAAGCTAACTTTAGTTTTGTTAATCCAAGCAGTTCATAAATGGCAAGCAGGCAGGTTTTATGGTTCTAATGATGATCCTGCATTTATCTTGTTTGTGTCTCACTATTGGATAAGAATGCCTTTTTATTTATATTAAGAATTTTTTAAAAAGAAAAGAAGAGAAAGAACACGGTTGAAAATTTGGTAATCTACTAAAGAATAATTTTTAATGGAAAAACTATGGTTTCACTTTAGTCTATATCTTTTGCGTTGTGTTTGGTTGGGAGATTTGGAAAGGATAAGGAAAAAGGTGTGTGAAACTAATCTCTCAACCAAACACAGCCTTGGGATTTAAGTGTTGCATTTTGAAACATAGGTGGTCAAAGTGAAAATGGACAAAAGATAATTACCCCTCTTTTTTTCCCCATTGAAGGCCAATGTGTCAAATTGATATTACTAAGTCACATCATCTTATTTAATTCACATCACCTCTCTATCACGTCACTTCAAACCCAATTCATTCTTAATCCATATTTCATAAAAAATTAAAAAATGTACTTATTTAGATCATTCCAAACAACTCTTAAATTTAATGGAAGTCCAAGTGGGCAGAAGTTGGAAGGGGGTAAAAAAAAACTATTATTTGTCTGGTCCAGTATCACCAGAGGGAACCAGCATTTCCCGTTGATGGTAATATGCCACTGTTTTTCACTCACTAACTGTACCTTTTGTGCAGCTACACGTATTCAGATGTAATGGAAGAGCAGTTGGATGATGATGAAGCTCAATCATTGTGTGGGGGAACACCAAAAGGTGACCTCAGTTTAGTCAAGCAGGAGAGAAAGGAGAAGGATGTTGATAGTACTGGTGTTTCCAATCTAGAAGATGGCCCAGAAGAGGATAAGAGGGAATGATTCCCTAGAATTCATCAGTTAACAACCTTGCTCTGTAGAAAATGGCCCGGAAGAGGATAAGGGAATGATTGCTGAGGATTCATCGGTTAACAGCATTGCACTGTAGAGATTAATGCAAAGAGGAAAAACTTCATTGAAATGTTGAGTAAAAAAATATGTTATACCCTCCTTATTGCGTGTAATTTTCTTCGTGATATTAATTTTGTAAATGTATATGTTAAAAGAGGGGCAGTAGATAGTGTTCTTAACAACTGGAAAAATGTACTCTCTAAATTGAGGTGAGTTGAAGGCACTGTAGTTGCGATGCCTTCTTTTTTTTTTTCTTTTTTTCTTTTTTTTTTGAGGTTTAGTTTTGAATTTTTCGAAGCTTTTTGACTGAGCCATTTCATTAGAGTTTTAAAAAAAAATTTTTTTTTTTTTTTTTATCTGATTTCTCTCTAGTCCTAAATCGAATTGGAGGGTACTGTTAGACCATGGAGCCCACCACGAATTCCATTTTAATAATCCAAATCATTCAATTTATTACTTATCGAGTACTATATACTTGTAAAAACATCACTTTAAAATCATCGAGATAATGGAATGGTTTATGTTATGGAATAAGCACCTGAGGATCCTGTTATAGAATAGGTTATGTTACTGTGCTTTTTTCCAACGACTTTGCTAATGGATTTGGACCGAGAGACCACACTGAAACTCACTTGAAAATGCAGGGTCTGTGCTTAAATGGAAATTATATCCAAACATGTTGATTTTGTTCGGCGGTGTCTAGCTGACTAAAGTGAATTTGTTTAAATTTGAAAGTCCGAACAGTAATGACGTTAAACAGGTTCAATATTTATTTTTACGTAAAATAAAAGATAGAAATCAAGAATTATACTTTGATATTTATGTGAATACTTACCTCTTTTTTGATGGATTGTTTCAAAAAAACATTTTTTGGATAAGAAACAATGATGTGATGATAATGGTGAGTTTGGTGGGGTGGTTTGGAATTTTGGAGTGAGAGAGAAGAGGAAAAAATAATTAAAATTTGGGACAAAAGATAAAGAATACGTATATATGATTAAAGTATACTATGAGAAAAAAAATATTTATTTTAAAATTTAACATGTATTGTTCTTATGAGTAAATTTACATTATGATATATTAGTAAGAATTAAAATTACAAAATTTTAATTAGATGTACTTAATGATTTTTGGGGTATAAATAGAATGCCCTCACATAAATGTGTCACTCATTCATTTGAATCCATCACTTGCTGAAATTTATTTTTTGGGCATGAATAAATTCCAATGCGCTCATCCTTGTTCGTACACAAGTGAAAATTTTGGGAATTTAAGTTAGGTTGTGTAGGTTTTCATTGCTCTATTGAAAAAATCTTCCTTGATTGATACATCATACAGTCCTGACCTCT